TTGAGTATTAGAAAAAATATATTGAAATGAATAGTGGAACCAGGACAAAGTCGAATATCAACAGCTATAACCTGTGTGCTGAGAAGAACTATATAACAAATTTCAAGGACTTGAACGACCCTTTCTAACTATTCCATCCGCTGTTCATTGCATAGTAGTAATAGAAAATAAATGTGATATGAAAACCTGTGCATTATAAAGAATTCAGTGGGATTTCACACAGATTTCTTTGATGATTTTGTCGAACTGAACAAAAGTGGGAATCACTCAAAAGTAGAATGTCAAAAAAAGCTTTTCAGCATTTTATATAAAAAAATGTAATCGCAAATAGTAGTTGAATACGTTTGTTCCAGCCGAACACTGAATATTTCTATAAGCTCATATTTGTTGAATTGATATCGGGTGTGGGTGTGTGAGTGTCTCTTCATGTAACTCTTACTCGCTTACACCTCCACCCACACCCCCCCCCTACCCCCACACCCCCACCCCCACACCCCCACACCCACACCCACACCCACACCCGCACCCTCCCACCCACACCCCACACCCACACCCCCACACTCACACCCACACCCCACACCCACCCACACCCACACCCACACCCACAGCCTCTCTCTAAATAAACTTTTTGGAGTTCATTCACTTTCTGTATACTATAATCAGGATGGTTTATCAATGTTAAACTGAATATTTCTGAGATTTTATAATAGAAAAATTAGGAGAGAATGCATTGGACATGTCTTTATTGGTCAATCCTCACGAATTTGAAACCGAAGAAAAATGGTTCGATACATTGATATATTCTAGTAACTGTTTTGAAACGTTACACATTGGAAATTTATCTACGTCAGTAAATCCACATAAAAAATGGAAAATTATTAGAGAAGAAAAATAGTTGCCCCACATTTATTAAGAAAAAAAATAACGCTACATATAAGCTATGTAATCATGAATTTTATATCATAATTCATGGAATAAATGTGTGTTCATTAATGCAAAGCAAATGTTATAATCACACTTATGATCATAAATATAGTTGACGGCAACATAGTAATACCATCTGATGGTTCCGTTGACTTAGTTGTCGTTGCATTAGTCCCTTGAAACAATGGATATTAAATTATTAATAGAAAAATAAAGTTACAAACATACCTATTTGCATAGTTTCGGATGACGGCAAAGTAGTATTACTATGCGATGATTCAGTTGAGTTAATTATCGCGGTATTAGTAACTTGACGAAAAACATTTATAACAAGTTCATGTGTTGATAATAAATTATATTTCATATCTTGAGCAGTAACACGTACTACGATTTGATTGTTGTTTGCGGTTGGATTTTGCCAAGTGAAAAGTGCTGTACGATTATCGAATAGAGCAGATTCCGGCCCATTAATTAATTTATAACTAATATTTGAAGTATAGGGACTAACGGTCATAAAGCTAATGATTATAGGAGATAAGTCATTTTTATTAAGAACAAGCGGCAAATCTGAATTAAATTCTGGCGGATAACGTTGATCCATAATAATTTGTTGAAAAGTTTCACTAGCTGCTCTTGATGCTTGTCCAAGAGCAGTATCATTTGTAACTACCATATCATAGTAACAGGTTCTTTGAGCAACAGTCCATAATGATCGATTGGTTAATGATGAATCAATATTGCATGTTGCTAGTGTTAAATTTAAACGAGATGCTGGAAGTTCAGGTAATACAAATGATGGAACATACAAATTATTTTGAGTAATATAATTTATTGCTGAATCACCCCTTTCATAATAGAAAAGTGAATGGTTGGGTTCAATTATCCATGTTTGTCCAAATTGTCGATGAATTTGTTCAAGTGAAAGGGTATCTGCTGTGCCCAAAATAGTTCCATTTTGTGCACGGAGATCATTATCTGGATTGTTATCATATAAACCAAGTAAACCAAATGTACGATTTTGATATGAACCTGCAACAGATGTATGAATGTTAAGCACAAGACTGTTTGATGTTGTAATAGGCGTTATTTGAATGCTAACACCTATAAACCAAGAAAGTGTAAGTACACCACTAGTTCGATTTTGTTCTAAAGTCATTTCAGGAAAAAATAGTACAAAAGAATTATTGATAGATATTTCATTATTATTTGTAATATCAAGATCAAGTGTTTCGTTGCCTCGTCGTACAATTAACATATTTCGTGGAGAAACAGTAATACTCATCTTTTCTGCAAGAAAATCATTTGATTTAGCTGCTAAACCACGAATAACAGTAGCACTATCGTTCAATGAATTAAGTGGTGTTGTACGTATTTGAGAATTAAATATCATAGGTTGTGTAATTCTCTTAAAATTAGTATTGATAGAAGTTGAAGAATTAGTTATAGCTAAATAAGTATATTCACCATAACCATTGAATGTATATGTTGAGCCGTCAAGAGTAGTAAAATGTGGATCACCCCACGTTCCACCGTTATCATTAGGTGAATTACTACCACGGCGATGTGGTCTATATATAAAATATCTTGCACAAGCTTCACGATCTGAATTTAAAATGCAACATGCAAGATATGGTAGTATGTCACTCAACAAATGAAGAACTTGTGATGATGCTGATCGATAGCGATCATCAGTTCCACCACCGATTCCACGAGTTATAAGCTGTCCACTATTATCGTAACAACATTCAGTACCCGCATTCCATTGATTTGTTGTACGTGATAAATAGCATGCTATAGCTGAAGATTCGCTAAGATTCGACCGGCCACGATGTAAACGACAATTCAATGATGTATTGGCATTTTCCAATTTACATAAGGAATCTGGTTCATAACAGCACCTAGCAACACGTGCTTGAGCCAATGTTAATGGACAAGGTAATAAATTTTCGTTCCATTCATGTGGTGATGGTTGTTTACTTGCCCATGCATGACAATAGTCTGACTTATCATATATAGGATCATTTAGTACAAATAATACTGAATTAAAACCAGCATAAACTGTATGTGTTAAAGTATCATATGCTATTGCACGAAAAAATACTGTTGGAAGGCTACTTCCATCAATTGATGGGATAGTAATTGATGTCGTTTGAAAACCAGCTCTAGGCATTAGATTGCTTTGAAGTACAATATGAGTATTTTGTTTTATACTGCCATTCGTTTCATTTAATATAACACTCCATAATTGTACTTCAAATTTAATTGTATTATTAACCCATTGGTCGATTGTCTTTTCTGATAAATACCAAGCAAGAGTAAGTTGATTGTTAACAGTTAGAATAAAATCATTGTAGTTAAGAATAATTAATGGAGGTTCATCTGAAGATGAAAGTCCATATTCAGCTGGTGTATAAGTAAATTTTCTTGGAAATAATTTAAATGTAATACCTCCATCAATACTTAAATAAATGTTAACTGAACCTGGCAGTGATACAGCTGGAGTAAGACAAATAGCTTCGAATTCATTGATAATTACAGCGTCAACCACTGCGGATTCACCAAATCGACATTTAACATCACCTTCACTTAAATTTCCAAAACATGGACCTTGTACAGTAATTGCTGTTGAGCCAAGTTGTGATCCACGACGTGGCTGAAATAAGAAATTTGAAGTATTACCACAACCTCCAACAGCAATTGTTTCTAAATCTATGCGAAAAACAAATAAACCAGGAACATTCACATTACTTAAATTGACCAATTGACGAACATTTCTAGTACGAGAATAGGGTAGCATTTCGAATATAACTCCATCACCAGCATTAAAACCGGCTTGACCACCAATTTCAGATGATGAAGAGGGTCCATTAAGAGAACCGGTTTGAGGGCTAGACCATTGCAAGTCATGGTAAAGAAGAAATGTGAAACTTCGTAATTCATCTGTTGCCAGTACAATTTGAAACGTGTTTGTTAAAGCGGTTTGTTGAGAAAAAGCACCTACCCGGTACCATGTGCCAATAATAATCATTGATGGATTAAATACTCGTTCACCAGAAAAATATTGTTGGACATAGGTTGCTGCTTTCCCGAATACGATATTGTTGCTTCGGTTGGCATAAATATGATAATAAACTCGATTACCCGATGAAATATTACCACGTGTATCTATATCGGACCAGAAACCAGCAATCAATCGACGATTGTCACTCAATGGAAATGGTGTTGGTACATATTCAGATATTGGTCCCAGAAATGAAAACAGACCATTGTTAGCTAAATAAATCTGGCGATGATTGATATTAAAATAAGGAAATACATGAGGTAATGGTAAGGCATTTGTACTTGAATCATCATTAGGTAGAAATAATGTATCGCTAGCCGAAGCTCCGAATGGGAAAAATTCACTTAGCGGAACACTGTAAATGACACTGAGTTTACAAATAAAGAGAAGGTAGACAATAAAATACATTTTCATCGCTTCAAATTATCCCAATGAAAAACACAAGGAAGATTTTAAAACTTTTTACTCTTTATATAGTCTGCCCGTTGGCTTTTATTGGCGTCTACAATGATTTGCATGATAATCATGCTTCGCAGCAGAAGTGTTTCAGGCAACTTTAAATATTGATTTTCTGACTTTTTAAAAAAACTCACTGTATTCTTACGTCACAAAGTATGGATTTCTAACGTAAATCATGATATGTGCCTAATTCACTGATTCGACAAAAGAATTACTTCCGAAATCCAGACAACAGCGAGACCTTTGTTGCTTTACACTATTTTCGTAGACAACTTGTCAAATAAAAATAAATCATTGCTAGAAATACTTAACTATGATCGATATCACGTATTCACATTCATTCGATATCATACTTTACAAAAAACGGAACAAATTTATGATTACTGATTTGACGTATCTATATCACTGAAATACGATACCCATGCCGTTAAAATCGCCGAAGTTTTAGTGATTCGTTGCGATTGATTGATCGTGGACGTCTTTGCAAATATAAAACCATCATAGAAAGTCGGCGATTAATTTGATAACAGTATCTCATCACAACAGATCATAAATTAGTCCAATACTACAAAAAAAAGCTGTACCTATTGGATAATTATCTTTCAGCATATAATTAATGAAAGTCTGTACGCATTTTTTTGGAATAAAGAAATAGAGATGTTCTTCTAGAGTACTTGCAATCGGAATAAATCTTTGAATGCTCTCTAGTTTACTTCCAAATCCCTAGTCGTATCAGTAACAGAGGTCAATGAATTTTGATTGAGAAAGTAACATAAGCGCCTAATTTTTCGATGACGACAATGATTCGTACTATGAAATATAATTCAATAGAAAAACGAAAGAAAACAAAATTCTTCTATTTAGAATTCCATTGAAATCTTGATTAATTAAAAAAAACACTTTGGTAATATTCATTTGATGCAGCCGATACAAATATTCATATAAATTATATTAACTAATATTGAATTACATTTTTCTGCTCTTATATTAAATTCTAGTATTGATGAAATTCATTATCAACAGATGGAACTTTACAAATAGCTGAAAGGTGTAAAAATGGAACAGAGAATTTCATACAAATTAAAAAAGATAAAAGAATGTAGAAAATCGGCAAGTTTGATATATGAATCAGCTACATTAAAAAAAAGACACTCGTAAGGGTGCAACAACTTTATTCTTGAATCTTAGCAATTTTGATGACACACGTGATTCAGCCAAACAAATATCGGAACCAAATAGCCAGTATTATTTTTCTTGATATTAGTTTTTATTAAATATTAGATGGTAATGAATGTAATGATGAGCACTAATGATATAAGAAAATGTAAGGTTTTTGATAATCTTTGCAAAACTATTTTGGTATATTGTAATAGAAATTTCTAAAATTTCAAATAAATCATTCGTAGAAAACCTATAGAAAATCAATGATACTAATGAATTATATTTTTAAATAAAGGAAGTCTTTAATTTATTCAAACGTTATTCACTTGATAATTCACAAGAAGAACAAATAGCTATTGAAATGCCACGTAGTATTCGTGAATATCTTCTTAAACGAGCTCATCATGTTACACATGATCTACTTAATACTCAACAATCATTTATTAATCGTTTTCTAACTGATAATAAATAATTTCAATATGAGGGTGCAGATTTTGTTGAAGATTATGATAATAATGATCCCATGATTTAAGGTTTACCAATTCAACAAGCAAGTGATTGCTGAACACATTTTGAACCACATTTTAATAACTTGAGGATGTGGGTTTGGCGTGCTTATGATTGTTGTTTTGAAACTAAAAATTCTTTAAGTAACCATACCCAACATCGAGATCTGTGCGCACGCCCAGTGCATAAATAACGATACGCTATCAAGATGAAAAGAAAGCATTTGTGTATATGATTAGAATTAGCAACAGTACTAATATCCAATCCAACCTTATTAGCAAGTAGTAAACGAATTATTTCTTCAGAGTCCATTATAAAAATAACATCAACTTCTTTCATATAATTCACGTTGCTCATTTCAAATTGATGGAAATAAATGACATATTTTAGTCAGATTATACAAGAGAAAATCAAATTATGAACGATTTCTCTAATATTTTCTCATAAATATGACTTATAGAAAATATTTTGATTGCCTTTCAAATTTATTTTAGTTTCTTGACAGTGTTCATACTGTCTATCCAAGAGCAGAACGTTCAATGCCCTCTTCGTAGATACAACAGCTATCGTTACGCTACTTTCTTGAATTCAATTCTGCATCAAAATACAGTAAACTTGCATTTGTAATAGGGATTTTTTTTTCATTATTTATCGTGATACTAAGGAAGATATTTAAGACTGAAATTTAATCAGCATTCTCGCCTGTTTTTATGTAATCAGAAATAAAATCTGAAGAAAAAATATTTGCATTAAACATTCATCAATACGATATTTGATACATATGACTTAGCATAAAATAATTTAAAAAATCAGCGCTGTAAGAAATGCTCGATTCGAAATAATATTGAAGATAGAAAAGAAAATCAACATTAATCATCCAGTATTGTGTATGTATGTATGATGATATTTCTCCAATAATCGGTATCAATCTACGTTCTTATTCTTGTGAAGAAGAAAAAGATATTTCAATATGGACCATAAAATTGAATATTCTCATCATTAGAATTATTTTACAAAGAACGCTAGAATTCATTAGCAAAACTATTATTTTTCTTGTTGTCTGTAACTCAGATATTAAACGAATTTGAAATTGATTATTTCCGTCTAATCATACAGATTTATTAATCAAAGACAAACTCAAAACAGCGCAAAGCACAATTATAATTTGTTCGAAGCTTGAAGTATTAACATTAAACAACACATTATATTAGCACAGGAATGTTTGTATCATGTATAAAGCAATTCTTATATTAATAATTTAATTTCTTATATTGAATTTCGTGATAGATTCAGTATCGAAATTATCGCAAGTACTTTTCATTGAACAAATGATGAATGAACAAAATTTGAGTAACATTGAGTATATAAGCTTACCCATTTAGCATTTCTCATTCTATTTTAATAAGTGAATACCTAAAAGCCATAAAAAAACGTGACTTTCAACAGAAAAAAATCTATTTTCTCTTAGATCTTATAGTATGGAGATACAGAGAAAATGACATTTGATAATCATTATTGTATGAAGTATGATAAGCTTTCAGTTACACCTCGAACGAATCATAATGAATGCTTCAATAAAACTAAAACCTATACCTGCACCCTAAGACAACATGTAAAAACAAATTATTTTCTAAGCTCTATCTAAACACTTCTATAAAATATTATTACTTAGAAGCTCAATGATGGAATAGCTTCAGTTCTTGACATTAACTCATTTAGTGTCATATTTCTTTATTGTAACTTAGAATAAAAATTCTTCTTTTCTGGGCGCATAATCACACAATAAAGAATAGAATGTGATTGAATATGCAATCAGCATGTGAACTTACTTTTCACTTTCTCAAGATATACATCACCGTAAAATCTCTAGCTGCATTTATCGAATAAAAAAATAAAGATTTGTTGCAATTGAAATAAATAATAGAATGTTTTTCTTTCCATGTATAAATTAAAGACTTTATTCTTTTGTCCATGTGCGTTCTTTTCAATACGATACAATATGGAAAGTACAGTCGAGTTTGGAAAGAGATTAATAGTACTTTTTGTAGAAGAAAGACTTTATCATCGCTCATGACTCTTAGCAATAAATCATTCTGTTCTTCAATCCTTCTAATTTATATACAGGAATCTTCTGAAATACCCGAAAAGATTTTATTTGTTTTTTAAAATACCGTCGATCATTTTCATGATATCAATAGGCCAAATTTCTTAAGATTATACTCTTTTTTTAATCATTGTAACAATAGTATCTTCTATTCGTTCAGTTAATGCTCGTTTTTATTCATCGCTGAACTGTCAGATTGACAAATAATTATATAGTCACGAAGATTGTTGACCAATATCTCATAGACGCTATCACTAATACTTGACAATGAATAGTAAATTATATTTAGTAAGAAAGTCCTCCGTCTCCTCCTAGAATACTACAGATTGAAAAAAGTATCTTTAACTAGGAGAAGTCACTAAAGATAAACCGAACTTTAAAAAAAGATTTTCTGAATTCAACAGATGTATTGAAATTTATGCCCATTGTAAGACTTCACGTACTTAGCTGATCAACTTAGAGTAATTAAATGTGATATGCTTATCTTGCATTTATGCATTTCATCGAAAAACAGCTTTAATAAATGACTTGTGTATCTAAAGAGAACATGATTTTGCTGCTTGTCAGAGAGTCATGATCTCGCCACTTCCTTTCTTTTCAATGATTGTTTTGATCTGGTGACGAGTATGGCTTGGTGAAGAACATGAAGAAAATATTGCCAAAAAAAGGGCAAGCAATAAAAGTATACATGCACAAGTATAAATACGTACTTTCAAATACAATAACTGCCTACACATCGAATGATGTTTCAAGCAGTGTTATTCTTTTGGATTTTGACGATCGTCAGCTCTTCCCATTATCGGTATGTATAAGTATTTTTGCCAGTTCGATATTCTTGATAATCATCACTAAACAATATATTCATTATTATGAACGAAAATTTCGTACATTGACGATAGACTCGGTAGATAGTCGTGATTTCTATGTAGTTGTATCGGATAACTATCTCTCTAGGAAAAGGAAATATTTCTTACTGGCATGGGAAAGGTAAACAGTAGTTTTTAGAGATAACATGAGAAAAATCTAAAAATCACGCGCTCATAAATATTATTTAGATTGTATGGCATGTGAAAGCTCTGGTTTCTAAGAATAATAATTCGAAATGTCATATTAGTGATAATGATCTGTTACGCATATAACATTTTGCTACATTATGTTCCATTTAAGGGCAAAAGAATTCATTTCTTTGTCCCTTATCTTTAACAATGGAGTACAATAAATTCTAAATTGTTGTGAGGTAGTCAATGTCTTACTGTTATATAGTGTATGAAGCCACGTTTAGAATATAAGAAAACCTCGAATACTCAATTTTTAATACCCATAATACATATGAGTAAGTACAGAAAAAGTATTTTATAAATAAAGTGATCCAAAAAGATGTGTGCTATAGTAGTTGCTCTTCCCTATGAAAACACATGTGCAAATATATGATTATGACAAAAATAACTGAGATCAAGTAAGGTCCAACATTATACATGATTAAACAACAGAAAAAAAGAATGTATGAACAAGATAATTCAATAAATATCGTGAAGCTTGTAAGTATAAAAAAGATTTCAAGTCTATCTTATGAGTTATGCATTCATTCAAGATAAAGCCAAGTACATTTATACACTATTGAGGAAATCGAGTTTGGTTTACGTGAATTCTTTAGATTAGAAAAAAAATCAATGTTCAATACTCATTCTATAAATTTTTATTTTAGTGGTGGCTCTGTTTCATGGAACATTCGAGAAGTCGATTACAATGCCATTAATACAACTGTTGGAGTACGTATTTCACAACGACATTCGTGGCGCCGAAGTGCTGCTATGGGTTTCTGGAAAGTACCTGAATGCGATATAGATACGATTCACAATGGAAGTGCTGTTATTGGTGAAGGCTTTCTGAATTGTATATCAGATGAATGTCCGAGACTGGGAAGTTCTTATCTCACCATACCAACACGTGTTTCCTGTACGGACTTCTCTGTTGAATACGACTATGCTAGTGGGGAAGCATCTCGGATGATTCAGTTACCTGTTGGTTATCAATTTACTTACTCTTTTTCATCTTGTTGCTGGATATCACTGTTACCTACTTCACATTCTCCATCATGGAAGTTAAATGTGACGATTACTACCAATCGTAGAGCCAATGGAAGGTAAGGGACTGAAGGTTATATAGCATAAGTCAACTAGATCGAAACTACTGTATAAAGGGGGTGGCTGCAGATGTGGGTTTTCATCTCTTCTTTCCCACACCAAACTACCCACACGCAGCTATATGGGTGTGGGTGTGAGTGTGGGTGTGAGTGTGAGTGTGGGTGTGGGTGTGGGTGTGGGTGTGGGTGTGGGTATAGGTGTGGGTGTGGGTGTGAGTGTGGGTGTATGGGTGTGGGGGT